TTTTTTGATATATATATATATATATATATATATATATATATATATATATATGAATGAGATATGGATTAACACTAAACATTTACTAATGTAAAAATTACTTATTAACTAGATTATTAAATAATATTTATGTAAATTTATTTATTAAAAACAAAATAATATTTTAAAATAAGGATGATTTGTTTATTATAAGTGTTTAGTGTTAACCTCTCTCTTTATATATATATAGAAAGAGAGAGAGGTTAACACCGAACATTTATAATAAATAAATTATTTTTATTTTATTTTTTTATATTTGATGTTAATTATTTTAATAGGACAAGTCACAAGCTTTTCCATAGCATTTCTCGCATTACCATCGCTGCCCTGCTACCACAATTAGTCTTGGCGAAGAAACAAAACGGTTTTAACCCTTAATTTAGGGTTTGGCTCAGGTTTCAAATTTTATTATTTGTATCAGAAAAGGAGTCGGCCAGGAATACTACAAGGCTACTTGAGCCAGTTTTAATGGGCATCTACATGCAGAGACTTTGAAATAAATAATAATAGACACCATTGAATTACATATGCAATGGAAATCCAGCTGGTTCATTATAGATTGGAAATGTCCTACGTTTCCAATATGACTGGTTCATTATTGTTAATTTATAACTGCATTATTTGTGATGATATCAGGGTACGAGGCTTCCAATGGCCTGCTTGTTTTCCTGGATCGCTGCGATGCCCTGATATCACCATTCCTTTAAACAACGCAGGTTTGAAGCTGATGTTCTGTCCTTTATGCTGATATCACTCTGCTCCCAACAACTTCGCTTGAATTACTATTGTCCTTATGATGCACTAATTAATGTCTTGATTCCAATCACTCGGGCAGTTTCTTTTGACAAATTCACCCGCTTTAATACTTTATGTTTATGCTAGCTCGACAAATCAGATCATATGAAAAAAATTCATCAAGCTTATCTTTGTAATTTGTTTTACTTTATCAATTCAACCCCACTGAACTAAATTATCAACATAATATGAGGAATTTACTATATATAGAGAGACGTATATTGTTTATAATTCAATTTAAATGGATATTCTTGATGAAAAATAAGTGAATTTCATGAATTTTTTTAAAGATACTTCTTTGTCAATTTGACACAGATATATATAGTACCTTTTTTTTAATTTTAATAATGGAACAATTGAACAATTAAGATTTAAGTTGAATATGAAAATCTCAGATTCAGATCTTAAGAGAGGGGAGGGCTACCGATGCAAGACATCGCGGTTATCAAGAAGAAAAGAAAATCCAGCTAATTAATGGAGTTACTGGATTTGCTGAAGTGATCGGTAACATTGAGTTAGGAAAAGGTGTTGATTACTTAAACATTTCTCGATTCTTAGAAGTTAAAGAGAAAGATTGATATTGGAGTAGCTTCTCATTAATATTTACCCAAGAGAAAATTTATTTGATTATTCATATAATTTCTATTTTTTACACTAAACTCCACACATAACTATGATTTAAACCTTAATTTTATAAAAAATAAAATAATTTGTTTTATTTTTTAAAATCTATTTTTAATTTATTTTGCATAAAAAACTCATCTCATAATAATTTTAACTAAATACATTTTTTAAAAAAATTAAAATTAAAAATATGTTTTTTTTTATATATAAGAATACTAAACTTCTTCTTCTTTTTTTAAAGAAAAAGTCAATGTCGTTATCGCTCGATGAATCCTGGAAACGTACGGGTATGTACTTTGGAGCAGCAATTATTAAAAAACTCAAATTATTGAAGTAATTACTGTCCTTATATATAATAACGTGTATTCAATATATTATTTGAATTGAGAAGTCAAGACCCGGCAAATCAACCGAAAAAAAGAAGAAGTATTATTTCCTAATTCAAGGCGTCATTGTAGCTTAAAAATCTAACAGGCCAACTTTTTGTACTTTTCTACGGATCCAAAAACAGGGACTATATATATATAGATTATTAGTAATTAGTAAATGAAACATTATTGCAATAATTGGCAATATTATACGAAGTCAGAGACACTTATGTCTTAAAATAAACCACCCATGACAAGAGGACATTAATTGGAGTTGAGAATTTCATGGAGATGGGCGGTTCTGTCATAACTCATAAGCAACCTGTGTGTGTGTTGACTAGTAGAGATTCTTCAATACATGCCAACTGAAGGTGCATCCATGGGAAACTTCGTGAACTTTCAGATTCATGCATCAAGTTGTTAGTTTCCTTTTCTTTCTCTGTCAGGATTTGTCTTCTTCTATATTTTCAACCATGCCTCCTGAAATTATAAAACAAGGTATTAAAAATTAAGTTTGTTATACAAGCTTTATTTCTCAAAAAATATAAAAATTCTCGGACCTAATTAACTTCCTTCATTCGTGCATTACAAGTTCTCATATCAACTTATATGAAATTTATGAGTTTTAAGTTTTTTTATGATAACATTAGCAATATGAATCTACCATGCAATTTTTTTTTAAAAAATAAATTACTTATGAATATCCAATGAGAATAAAGAATTTATTTTTGTATTTTAGTTATAATTTTCTCAAACTAGTTATTTTTTTATCACGTATAGTCATATAAAATTAACAAGATATGATTTTTTGTTTTTTAATCAAAACTTACTTTGCATATCATAATAAACTTTTAAAAAATACATATTTTGTAAAAATTAGTGTGAGATTGATTTTTATACATAAATAAATAAAAAAACATATATATTTTTTTATGAATGAACAAAAATGGCTTTTTTGTAAGTAGAGTTGAAAGATTTGTTGTGCCAAAGGTATTGTCGAGTGAAGAATTGTATGATATGGTTTCGTAGTACAAGGACATTGTGTTTGGTTTTCAATCTAGTAAGTAGAAGTGTGTTTGGTTTTCAATTTGACGAGTAGAAGTTTTCTAGTTTTAGCTAGGTAAAATGAATTAGTTTTTGGGATCTTTTTTATTGAAAAACTAATATCCTCCACCATAATTTGAATGTCGTGCTTCTAAAAAAAACGTATTAGAAAACATTTTTAATACGGTGATGGACATAAAATAAAAGATAAAGAACAACATGAATACTATAATGTATATATCTTTCTTTTATCACCATAAAAATATAAAGTTCATTTATGATGGGCCATGGGTTGCAAAACTCAAAGCCAATTTCACCTTATAAAAAAATACATAATTACTTGTTTACCAATAGCTTAAGAGTTTATATTTTTCTTGTGAATATATTTCAAACAAATCTAGATTATTGAATTTGAAGGATTGTAGATTGTATAGAATAAATAATCATGATTATCATGTGTTTATGCAAACACTTATTTCACTTTCTTAAAATAATCTATTGTTAAAAGGGATATATGATTCACTTACAAAAATTAATTATTTTTTTAGAGATATATGTTTTAACAAGTTGTATACCCAACACATAAAGAAGCTTGAAATGAATATTGTCTAAAAAATCTGCAAACTTAATAAAATATTTCTTCATCCCACTTTAACTCAATAGAGTATCTATCCATACATTTACTGTTTGAGGTAAAAGTTAGAGGTTTTGTCTAATATAGATAAATATATCAATTTGAAAGGTTAAATATTACATATATATCTTAAATAAATTTTTATTGTTTTTTAATTAAAACATTACTTTTTCAATCTTTATTTAACTGCACGTAGATACTTCTCTAACCTTAAGAAAAAAAAATTTAAAATAAAATGCATGTTGAGGTTTGAATATGTGAAACTTATATTATTAAAAATATTTCAATATTTATCTCATATTTTTTTAAGTCTCATTTAAGAACATGAATTAACCAAAACAAAAACATAATGATGATTGGAAGTGACTTTGAATATGAATTTATTAATATTTTCTCGTTCTAGATGGCCTTTATAAAAAAAATATAATGAAAGAAAGATACATGACAAAAATCGAGTTCACACATGCATATAATTATATGCTATATAACATGGTTTAAATCATATAGAAGTAGTACTTAATAATTCTTAACCCTTGTAATGCGTAATTTTACTATATATTTCTTTATAACTTTTAATAATTATAATCTTGTACCATGTTTATTAAATGAGAGATAATATTAGTGGTAGTTTGAATTTACTTTTAATAGAACAATTAAAGTTAATCATCACCATGATTTTGTAGAAACTAATACAAATAATAATATAACTTATCTTAAATAATAATATAATTTATATTACAAAACTAACCCCAAACCTAAAATTATTGAAAAACCAATTATGATTACTAATTATTATTAAACTAGATAGCATTTTCTTTTTTTCTTTTTACTCTTTTCATATGTAGTTTTCCTTCGTATCCCCTACCATAACTATGACAAAAATATAAATTAGGGACCATGTAAAGATTAGGTAATAAATGATTTTTGTTTAAGACATTATTTGTTTAACGCATTTTTTGGTAATATTTTTTTGTAAGAATTTGGAAAATCTCATTTTTGGTCATTATTTTTTATTTATTTAAAAAATTATTTTATTCATTATTCAACCTTTGTTTGGAAGAAAAAAAGAAACTAGTTGAAAATCTATGAAGGAGAGAGAGTTACCAATTGACCATATTATAGTGATAAAAAAAATCATTCTTGGTGTAAAAAGTTTTATGCAACTATAAGAGTTTTTTTATCTTATTTTGCGAGAAAGAGTAGATTGAAACTTGATTTTTTTTTTAAATTCAGGTTAATTTTTTATTTTATAATAAATTAAATATTATTTAATATTATATATGAGTTTATTGAAATCCCCATTTAGATGTTTTAAAGTGGAAAATAAGTTTAGAAATGATTTTTTAAGGTCCTTACAGTTCGAAACTTGAATTTTCAGCGATCCTAGTTAGCCGAAATCGAAGTAGAAAAGACATGTCGTCTAGTTGTTTAAGAAAAAATTGGATGCATGATTTTGTCTACCGAACTTAACAAAAAATAAAATAAAAATAGGACATGCATGAGGCCCCTTTTTATTTGGAACACAAGCAGGCATCTCTGCCTCGTCCTGGGCTCGTTTAAGAAGGCCTCTATTAAAACAAAAACAAAAAAAAAACTAAAGTTATTTTTAAAAAATTATCTCACTAAATACCATTTAGTTTTAAATTATGATATTTTTTTTATAATATTAGCATGCATTCTTTTTAGACAACACAATTTAATTATAATTAAATAAATTAAATTATTTTTGATATATATATATATATATATTTTTAATATGAATGTTCAGATTAACTTAAGTATGCTTCAATTAATCTCACAAATTCTGAAATTAATGATTATATATACATTCAATAAGCATGAAGTTTTTGATATATTATTTTATTAGATATCAATCAATTCAATATTAATTTCCTATTGATATTATTGCTATTTTTTATGATGTTAGTGATAATTTTGTTAATTATTTTTATGGTCTTTCTATGTATTTTTTTTATTTTAGTGTTATGGAAATTATATAAAAATAAATTTCAATTTATTATAATTATCACAGATACTCTTCTTTAAACTTTGTTTACTTTTTTGTTTAATGAATTATGATTCTTATGGAAAAAAAAAGAGATATCACATGAATTATTAAAGTTTTTTTTGAAAATTGAAATACATTTTTACTTCATGATATTATTCATTGTTTTTAATATGAATATCTTTTTTTTATAATAATATAATTAGTTAAAATATTAATCGCTACCAAC